GTTTTTAAAATAAATTTTTATTATTAAAAACTTAACTTTGTGTGGCCTTATCAATTATTGTTAAAATTAGATTCCCGCATATTAATTCTGAAACCCCTTATTGAATCTATTATACTGAAATCACAAATATAACCAAATTAACCAAAAATCATTCTGCTAATTTTTATCAAGTGCTTCAGGACATGGTAATGAACTCAAGGTCGAGAAAGTTTTCAATACAAAATCAGAAAAGGTTCAGTTTAAATATTTGGTGTACAGGCTACTTTTTATGTCAATCGTTCTAATTAAGAGTCAGTATATAGATTTTTAAGGATTAACTTTCAAAACTTCATGAATTTCTACATGACCCGTTGACTCGAGTTATAATCCAGGTAAGAGCTCTATATAGTGATTTAGTTGATAAGTAGTATAACTAAAATTATTCAGGCTTATCTATTAGCTAATTTATTTATTCAATGAATGCTAAGGTTTTTTACTAATGGGTCTATTTAAAAAAACCAATTGAGTCTATAGCACTTACTATTATGCTGTATCTTGTATAATTTAATTTTAATTTAGTTCTAATAATTAGTTACGACTAGTTAACATCACTTATTGCAAGTGAATATGTATTAAGAAATAAATGAAAATGTTATTAAGTGCTTTAAAATTTATCTTTTGTTAATAGCCAATCAGTTATTTTTATATCATGTGATTAAAAATTTTTAAGTGACTTTTCTATATTAAATTTGGTATAATAAAAAATTTGATAAAATCAAATATATTTTATTATATTCATAATATACTTTCTGTTTGCTATTTGTTATAGTAGAACTTATTATGAAAAATTTGTTATATTTAATTATTCTATTTATAAAAAAGAATAAATGTAATTTATAACAGGATTATTAATAACCACCTTTATTTTATAATTGTTTTTGGTTTTTTTTATCAAAATTTAAGGTTAGGTGCAGTTTAATACTGAAACAGAGGTTTGTATAATAGTCTAAATTTTCAATTACACAAGGTTTTGAAATTCTAAACACTTTTACTTAACCTACCTAACTCCTGTTTCTTAGTCAATTTATTGAGACATGGCACTCCTGATATCAATAACCCCATATAAATTATAAATATTCTATAAAAAATTAAAATTTATTAAATAATTCATTATAGAACAAAATTCATAATATAAAAATTCATTATATTAAGCTTTAACTATATATATAAAAAATATATTTAAGTTCTGTTTAGATTCATAAATTTAAAATTTAGTTCAGGTTCGAAGATTTGTAAAATTTAAAGTTTAGTTTAGTGCAATTGAACTTAAACATGAACCTAAATTGAACTGAACTTAGAAATATTGTCGGTAATTAAATAAGAGAGAGAGATAGAGATTTTTATTTGAGAACATAAAAAAATTTTTGAGAACATTAGATTAAATAAATATGTTCTCATGAGAACATAAATCTCAAAACAGATTTCCAACACTGGATATACCTCGTGCGAGGCACATTTCTAATCGTAATACATCTGAAGTAAGCTTTCTGTATAAAGACTTGCGCACGATAATTAACACTGGCTAATATTACTTCAAGTAGCTCTCGATATAAGAAACTCTTGATATAAGAAAGATTTTGTAAATCCTAATTGAAACTCTTATAATAAAAAGCCTCCAATGTAAGAATAAGAAAGATTTTGGCTGAACCCGACAACTTTCTTGTATCAAGAGTCAGTTGTATAAAATATACGCATATCAATTAACCATCATATATCGATGTGGATTCTAGCGGAAAATTTGACAACACTCTCCGAGCCTAATACACGAACGTTTTCAATTTCAAGTTTTTTTTTTTTTTGCTAAGTCGGTTAAGTCGACCAGCTTGGTAGGTCGTAAATTTTAATCTGTCGGGGATCGCTATATGGACTTAAAACCCATTAGATTTCCAATTGAATAATTAAATTGTACGTCGTGAGTAGTCTAATCGCTTTAAATCATTAAAGCAAGCGCTTGTAAATTTGTTTTTTGTAAATTTTGTATTTTCCTGAATGTATATAAGCTTATATCTTAACGTTAATAGATCTACTTAACCCTTTAAAATTAATGATCTGATTAATCACCTGACCTGATTAAAAGCTGGACAGTGCTAAATTCGGCGATCATCGATCTTTCAAGCCCTTTATTCAAATTATTAATGATAACAGCTAAGTGGGCAAAGACACCTTGTTTTTACATTATTAAAGCCTCAAAGAAATCAATTGGAATGACTGGGGCTACTACTGAATTTGAGGTAACCAATAACAAATGCATTATATCTATCCCAGTCTAATTTTCCAAAAAAAAAATTTTTTCGCTCATTCTTTTACAATTTGACGTAGAATGAGATCAAAAAACTTAATGATTACATTAGAATCCCAGGTTACAGACGCGCATTACCCTCCAGAAGGTGGGACCCAATACTGGCAATTACAGGATTTCATCATTTTTATGATGCTAAAAGATTTCAAATTCACGTTGATAATGCATACAGAGTGGATAATATCTCTAAAGATTTTTCTAAAATGAGGCATCTTAAAGAAAATTTATTAATACGACCTTGTATATTAAAAAGAATTATTTGTGCAAGAAATGTATTTAGAAGACTGTTCACCGAAAACTTTCCAAAAGAAAATCCAAAAGTTTTGAAATTATGGAAGATACACTGGTCAAAAGAATTAAATCAAGATATGATTAAAGAATTGGCTTTTGGTTGGGACATTGAAGATTTTAAAAATGATATAGCACAAAGTGGTTACAATATAGATAGACCTAAAAAGACATATTTCATTGATCATGTTAAGTTAGAGTTTGATGATTTTTTGCCATGGAGGGAAATTTTAGATGAATGGAGGATATTGAAAGAAGAAAGAAAAGCTTTGGGATTAGATGACAAGGATAAAGATCAACCGAGTCAACCAAGTAAAAAACTTGAACAAAAAATTGCAAATCAAGAAAATCAAGAAAAAGAACATTGGTTTAAGGTTGTTGATGATTATGAGGATGATTAATATATTTAAAATTATAGGATTAAAGTAAGACTCTGCTATGCTATTAATTAATATATCCTAGTAAGGAATTTATAATTTATTGCATGGTGCAATATATTGCACCCCTATTATAACAATTTGAAGATCATCAAATTTCGTGTAATGAAAAATTTTTATCAAAGCAAAAATAAATTGATTAATGTTAGGTTTAGGGTTAAGATCTGGGTGAAGCAAGGATATAGGTTATATCAAAATTTTACGGAAATTTTTTTTATTAGAACGTCAAAGGTGGTTTCATAGTAAAAATTTTTAGATAACAGAAGGGGAGCAATATATTGCAGGTGCAATAAATTTTAAAATCCTATTAGTAAAATAATTTATTCGATGTTTTTACTAATACTAATAATAATAATTTAGATATTTCTAAAATATGGTTATTAAATTGATAATATTGATTATTACGAATCAGGATAAGAAGAATATTGTAAAATTTTGCTATTATCATAAACATCTTCAGGAATATTAATAGCTAATCTATAAAAATCCATTTTAGTATCACTATGTTTTTCTAATTTCCAATCCAAATCATCTCCAAATTTAAGTTTCAATCGATTTCTAATTTCTATGCCAAACCTATCCAAAAGTTCATAACCAACATAGGGAGCAAATGGTCTGAGATATTTAACAAATGGAGCAACCTTTTCATGTTCGTCCCAGCGAAGTTCCTGATTTTCTCGTACTATTCGATAAAATGTAAATGGTATAGTAGTCTCAAAAAATTGCATTGCTTCAAAAATACATTTTTGAAATGCTTGAATGAATTCATCAAGTTTTAAGGCGGCTGCCTTTTGAGCTTGTTGAGATAATAATGGGGGTTCAGGCTGAGACAATGGTAATGGGATTGGAAGTTGAAAATAATCGATTTCTGCAAATAATTCATCTCGAGAAACTGTAATATTATAGGTTGTTGGCGTAATGTCAATGGATGAAGAACTAGTCAAGTGAATGTCATGCCAATGAACTTTTCCTGTACGATAAAACTGTAAAATATATCGGAATAATTGTCCATCTCTATCAATAAAATGTTCACCATTAACTGGACTCAACAACTCTTTATTTCTATCAGCAAACATTGTTCCGAGAAGTGTTGTGGGATAAGCGATTAGAGTAGAACGATAAGTTTCATACTAGTTTATTTGAAAAAAAAGATTTAAATTTAATTTGATTTTAAACATACGTCAAGTAACAGATAACTTAATTCAATTTACCTTTACACCACCAACGTTTAATATAATTCTTTCTCGAGATGCTTCGGAGTCTGTTGTAACCGACATCATTGAATTAGATAGTAAGCAGATGAATAAATCGGGATTTTTGGTCTAAACCGGTATAAAAACGGAATTTTTTTAGAATCACATGACATATGTTTATTTTGATTGGTTAAATATCATGTGGTACGGTTCAGTTTTAAAATTTTTGTCATAAAACATTACTCGCATAAGTGTATTGTAGAATTTCTACGTACGTAACACATCTACAGAGCTTTTATAAGAATAGGCAATTTATTGTAATATTAATTTATTAATAGTTTAGATGAATTTTGAATCAACATTTAATATCAATTACCACTTAAATGCAATAACTATGAAGTATATTTGGTTACCAATTAGTGTAGAATAAGTGAGGAATCACTTCGGGCACTTAATATTATGTATCGGTATGATAATAGTAATTATAATAAATTTTTTATATAAATCAAAAATGAATTTTTGTAAATCAAAACGATGTCCTTGATAGTATGTTATTGATGTCATACAGTGCGGGACACCTTAAACCAACAACTTTTTTTTAAAGTGGCCAAATTTTTAAGACAAAATACTAAATTTTGATTGGTTATTTTCTTAAAATTTTATTATACTTTTAAAATTTTATTATATTTTTAAAAAATTTTATTATGTTTTTATATATAAGTGGCCAAATTTATATTCTATTAGT